TCACATTCCATGTTCCAATCACTAGGGTCTGCTTACAACTGTTCCTCCTCCTTTGTATTTCCATACTTGATAGTTCTGCCTATGTTGGGGAACAGAGCAGACTGGCACTTGATTGCTGGGCACTGTCAAGTCAAGTACACCTCATAGAGACCCTATGAACAAAAGATCTGAACCCTATTCTATCCAGTGCCATCCTCACAATTCCTGACACACTAGAGCACATTGCAGCAGTCACTGTGTCAATACACCCGGTTAAGCGTCTTCTCTCTTTTGCCAACCCTCCATCCTCAGCATCATGTCATTCTCCAAGGAATAGCACCGCCTAGCAACATGCTCAAAGTATGTGAGGCAAAGCCTTATAATTCTTGCTTCCAAAGAGCATTCCGGCTGTACCCTTTCCAAGACATATTTGTTCTTTCGGCCATCTGTGGGATGTCTGGTGCTCTTCTCCAACATCACAGCTCAAAGGCAGCAATTCTTCTGTCAACCTTATTCATTGTCCAGTTCTCAGATTGGAAAGAGTATGGACTGAATCAGACACACCTTAATCCTAAAACTGACATCATTACACCTCAATAATTTGGAGAGGTTCCTAACTGCTTATTTTCTCAGTGCAACACATCTTATTTCCTGACTGCTGGTACCCAGCGCATTAACTGTGGGTCCACATAAGATTAAGTTGTTGACAGTTTCAACTCATCCATCATGTTGCCTATTGGTCCAGAGATAAGAATCTTTGTTTTCTTGACATTGAGACACAATCCATACTGAAGACTGCATTCCTTGATCTTCTGCAACAAATGCTTCAAATCCTCCTCAGTTTCAGCAAGCAAGGTTGTGTCATCTGCATAATGCAGGGTATTGATGAGTCTCCCTCAAATCCTGATGCCACATTCCTCTTTACCTAGTCCAGCTTCTCAAATAATTTGTTTAGCATACAGATTGAATCGGTATGGAGAGAGAATACAACCTTGACGCACTCTCTTAGTTGTAAACCATGCAGTGTTCCCCTGCTCTATTCATACAACAGCCTCCTGGTCCATGTATATAGGTTTTGCATGAGCACAATTAAGTGCTTTGGGACCCCCATTCTTCTCAATGTCAGCCACAACTTGTTTTGATCTACACAGTCTTTGCATAGTCAATGAAGCACAAATAGACATTCTTCTAGTATTCTACACTTTCAGCCAGGATCCCTGTGACATCATCAATGATATACCTGGTGCCATAGTCTCTTCTAAATACTGCTTGAACTTCTTGCAGTTCCCTATTTATGTACTAGTCTAGCAGTTTTTGAATGATCTTCAGCAGTATTCTGCTTGCATGTGATATTAATGATATCATTGAATAGTTTCCATATTCAGTTGGATCACCTTTCTTGGAAATGGGAACAAATATGGACTTCCCCAATCTGTTGACCTCCAAATTTCCTGGCATACACTAGTGAGTGCATCCAAGGCTGCACTGAAACAATTCAATTGGTATCCCTTATCTTCCTGGGGCCTTCTTTTTTGCCAACACCTTCAATGCAGCTTCCACTTCCTCCTTCATTAACTATTGGCTCCTGTTCATGTGATACTTTCTGAAATTTTTCAGTGTCAATCGATTCTTTCTGGTACAGTGCTTTTGTTTATTCCCTCTATCCTCTTTTGATGCTTTCTGGGTAATTCAATATATTGCCCATAGCATTTTCAATATTGTGACTCAAAGCTTAATTTTTTTAGTTCTCTTAGCTTGAGAAATGCACCTCCAATTCCAGCTCTCTTCTGCAAATTCCATTATAATAACTTTGCTTTGTCCTCCCAAGCACTAAGTCTTACAATATCCCATCTACTGGACATTACTATTAAGTTTAAAAAAAAAAGTCCAAGATTAACAAGTAGTATAGCAGTGAAAATCCTTGGGCCTAAAAAATCTTTACACTACAATTTTCTTATCAGACTTTGAGAAGGTGTATCCCTGCATCCTTTATTACTAAAAAGAAGTTTATGAGATATCAGTTATAAAACAATTTTTTTAAAATTGTGGTTTGCATGGATGTTTATGTAGAAATTGGCTTCTCACTCTTTTATAGATTTATTCCCTTTCCCTCTTCCAAAACCTCATACATGCCTATATGAACTTGCTAGCTGCACTGCTCATAATGACTTATCTCCCCTTCTTTTCACTCTGTCCTATCCCCTTTTCCAGTGTCATGTTCTTTATTCATCTAATCTCTTCCTGTTCTCTCCACTTTCCTCTACCCCCACCACCCTGCAATCCTTTTGATTTTTTAACAGTGGTATCACACACCCTAGTCCCTTTGTGGCCGAGTTAATTCACTCAGCATAGTGTCCTCTAGATGCATCCATGTTGTGTAGTGTGTTTCTTGAGACCTTCACTGTTTTACAATGCTGTATAATACTGTGTGGATGAACTGGTTTCTTTACCCTGATGGACACTGGGGCTCTTTCCATCTCTTTGCTATTGTGAACGAGGCGGCAATAAACATGGCATGTATATATGTATTTGAGCTTTTCTTGGGTGGATTCCTAGCAGTAGGAAATTCTGGGTCAAACAGAATTTCTATTTTCAGTCTTCTGAAGAAGTGCCAGACTGTCTTCCACAGCAGTTGTACCATTTTATAGGCTCTTTTCAAAAGGGCAGCCCTCTGTGTCTCTCACTCACTCCACACTACCTACTAAGCAGTCCTAAGAACCACTCACATTAATCAGCCAGGACACCTCAACCTCCATGGCATCATACAGTAAAATGACCAAAGAAATATGCAATTCATCTCATGCCACTGCCTTGGAGCTTCTGAAGAATGAGAAAAAGAATTGGGAAATATACCTCATCTCCACCTTCCATCCTGCTATACCTTATAGATTAAATCCTTTTAGGGCTAATCAAAATATAAAATGCCACAAAGACAACTTCATGTAGTTACCTTTAGATACATAAGGAAGAGCTGGCCAGGTGTAAGGACTTCTTGATTCATTAAACTATCAGGATTCTCCTCCATACACTCTCCCTTGGCTAAAGCAACGAGTTTCCGGGTCATGAAGCAAAGCATGTAAAACTTCTCAGTATTGGAATTTAAGTGGATACAAATGCATTGGCTGTCAAAATAAAAAGAATGCGCTCAAAATAATATATTACATAAAATAATATTTGATGCTTTATTAACCAGTCTCTAGATCACATTTACTTCAACTAATCATCCTAACTTGTTTTCTAAAAATTTATTTTTACCTTTACTGGCAGTAAGTAGACAGGAGAGTTAAAAGTTCTAGAGCTTGCTGTCTAAGGAAATAAAACGAGGAATCCTGGTTCTAAGGTGCACAGGGCCACAATTCAAACGCTCAGCACAAGATACTTAAGGGCTATCACACTGGACAGTGCTATCTATGTATAGAGCTTCTTAAATATTTATGCAGTGGCTCCATAAGAGGAAGTCCTAGCTCTGGGGTAAGGGATATTCTTTCTGTCTGCAATCTACTCTCAGGTGTGACAGGGAAAAAATGTGTAACTATATGCAGAAGAAGTGATTTTTTAAAGTCAGTAATTAGTGAAAAGTACCTAATATACTATTTTAGTAGTTCTACAACTATGCTATTACTTAAAAATTAAAAGGTACAAACAGAAAAGAAAAAAAAATTAATACTACCAAGAAAGGAGAGAAAAATCAAGGATGACCACAAAACCAAAGCCAGCCAGTAGGGGCCAGATCAGACTTTTGCCCAAGGTTCACTCTGTTGCCAGACATCCTCCCTGCAGTCAGCATGAAGCACCCCGGTGCCTGCCCTTACTCCCCTTCCAAAGAGGCTTTAAATGGTGGTGCACACAGCAAGTGGTCCCTGCCACCTTTCAGGGGCTGTGCTGTGCCCCCTGAAGTGAATCTGGAAGTTCTAAACTCCCAGGGGCCAGTCCTTGTGTCTTGTGGGGTCACCCGGGACTGCACAGTACACGTGAGAGGACTGTCTGCCTTCCCCGATCGCGACCTGGGCAATCAGCATTGAGCCCACTCCATCCAGATCATGAAAGTGAAGGAGGTTGTGCCTACAATGCCACAGCCAAGCACTTCCAAGACTTTAAGATCAAGTTCCCACTGCCCCACTGGGTCCCGTGTTGCCAGCACAAGCAATGCTCACCACCAAGTGGCCTGGCCCCACAGCTTCTTCTAGGCATGGCCCCTCTCCCTACTTCATAAAACACCTTGGGGACTGAAAAAAGAGTACTCACTCAAAGAGAAACTGTGCAGCCTGCTCATTGGGGTACCATTCAGGGAGATTAAGCTTGACCCGGAAGCACTCCCCTAGATAGTTAAGAACCTGTTTTTGCGTTGAACAGCCCTCCTCTGCTACAATCCTTAACATCTGAGAAACAGAGTTCCGAAAGAAAGAGTCCTCTTCTTTCCCTTTGATGAGCTCCTGAAAGATCTGATAATCGGAAAAACTCACAAGTGCCTAGAATTTGGATCAGAGGAAGAGAAAGAAATGTTAGTAGTTTATAAATAACCAAACCATTTTATTAATTTAGGAACATTTCTCTCCTCTAAACACACTCAACTTGCATTCCATCACTGCTGACTAGTGGTGATTTCTCCAGTGACCCCTGCCTCCTGGTATTCACCACCTCACATGGCTCCTTCTCACAGTGACTCAGGGCTGGCCCCAGGACCCAGAGAATATGATGAAAATGATGATGTGAGTTTCTCCAGGTTTACATAAAGGGCACTCTGTCTTGTTCTCTTGAACAACGAGAGGCTCCAGCAGCCTCAGGCAAAAGCCCCCATGACGAGGAACCCAGCAACCCCACCAACAGTGGCACTGACTTTACACCAACTAAGGAGTGAACCACCTTGGAGGTGGATCCTCCTACCCTGGTTATGCCTTCCACAGCTTTGACTGAAACTACACTGAAACATCATGAGACTTCCAGCTAGAAGCGCCCAGCCAAACTGCACCCCAACTCCTGAACTATAGAAACTGTGAGAGAAATAATCACAGATGGGTTAAGCGATCAAATCTGTGAGGAAGTAGATAACTAGTACAGGATGTGCTCTGTTTAGGAGAATCCACACAGTATTCTACCCTCTCGCAGAACCTCTTACAACAAAAGCAGCATAGTCATCACCTCACACCTTAAGGGCAAATCCCAAAGGAAGGAAAAAAAGTTCTTTCCGGTAAATAAAGTTCAACATAACAGTGCCATTTTCCACATAGTGAAGGTTCATGTTGACAGCAGAATGCTCTTCCTTCACACAGTGCATAGAAACTCCTGTTTAACAAATACAAGCACAAAGTCAGAAATAGTAACACTCTAAATGCTTCAGTCAATATTTTTCCAAGTTACTTTACACTTTTAGGGTCATTAGAACCTAATTACTATGTGCAGCAAGAATTTGCTGCCAAAATTTTGCAACATTTTTGTAACTAACTTGTTACACAATTTGTTACCAAAAATGTGTCTAGACATTGCCAGAGGTCACGAGGGACAAATACTTTGGTTGACAACCAAATAAATGAAGCTATTAATTTAGCCAGACTTCAAAGTCTCCCTCCGTTACAGGAATAGGGTATATTCTAGAATTTGATAGCCCCAGCACCCCAAAGGCCCGGCATGCTGCGGGGTATGGTGAAGAGAACGGGGCTTATCAATAGTTTATATGAAGGAAATGAGAACTTTCGATTTCACATTTCCGATTCAAAAAGAGAGCCCTAAAGCACACTAGATTAACAGACACAAAAGGATCAATGAGCAACATTCTGATGTTCTGAGATGGTTTCATTCTAGGAATGCTTGTAAGGTTACAATCTGAGGTTAATCTTTAGCTCAACTGTTGAAATGCAGCATGGTGCCTTATGATGCTAGGCACTTTCACAATGAGTGCTCAGAGGCTAGAAGGCTGGCCGCAGTCAGGGTCCCTGCGGTGACGCCATGATAGCTCAATCCAGACATCAGAGGCCCATGCCTGCCTCTGGCCAAGTCAGGCCTGCCTTCATGTTCACAAGCACTAACACAAAAACACAAGCTCTTTCAGACTGAAAGGATGGAAGGTAACAGAAATTAGGCTTCCACTAGGAAATCTTAACACCGAAATGCTTAAAAGAAGAACATCGATGTGTAACAGAAAAACAATATGTTACCTTCTTAAAAATGGTTTAAAAGTTTTTCAATAATCATCAGAACTTACCATACTCAGTATAGCCAGGCCCTCTGTTTTTCCACTTGGGTCTTCTCATTGCGATGGGGAAATTTCTCCGTGGCATAATCAACATTCGGATGACTTTTTCAATGCCATTGATTATGAAATAACCTCCCATTTCCTGTTAAAGAGATGAATTAAAATTTGTTAAGCAAAATGGGTAAAGGAAGAAACATTAATTAGTAACTATGCATGTGAAACCTATCCCTTGCCACATGGAGCACTGCCTGTGAACCTCAAGGCTGCCGTAGGACCCCATGAAGCAGCACCACAGAGGGCGGGCCTGGGGACCAACTGCCACAGGAAAACACTGCTGAGAATACCCAAGGAGCCACTCTGCTCTGCAGCACCCAGCGTCTACTCAACAACAATGGGGGTGGGGGTCTGCTTGGTTTATTACCGGACACAGAAGCAGCATGCGGTCAGCCAGAGCAGCCACACTCCACAGGCCTGGCTGAGGTGGCCTCTGTCTCCTAAAATGGCATGAGGCTTTAAAAGCTATTTAAAGGCTTACTTGCCTAAGAGAGAAGTCTAAAGACAAAAAAATTTCATTGTTTTGCTTCTAGACCAGTATAACTTAAATAACTTTAAGAAAATCTGAGTGAAGTAAACAGGAATTTTTCTTTAAAATTATTCTGGTCAGTACAACATTTCTGCAAAAAAACAAACCACTGTCTACTGAGGGAGCCCTGGTGGCCTAGATGCACTCCTAACCCAAAGGCCACACCTCTCCAGTGGTTCAAGCTCCAGCCTCTGAGCCTCCATGGAGGTTAAGATGTGAGCTGGTTCCCATTCAATGGCAATTAGCTGATTTGACTATCTAACGACTAACTGGAATCCCAAAGGCACGCACTTCAAATCCACCAGCTGCTTCACGAGAGAAGGACAGGCAGTCTCCTCCTCTGTGATTTGCTGCTTCAGAAAATCTGCTGAATGGTCAGGTATGAGTCAGTCCTTCCATATAGCACACAACAACAAAGTAGGTACTTCATATATTGTTGTTATGTGCCATCGAGTCGTAGGCTACTCACAGCGACCCTATAAGCGAAAGTCCTCAACACTTGTGTGACTTTCATCCTTTCTCCAGGTTCATAGGGTTTCCAGAGGCAAACTATTTACGGAAATGGATGCCACTCCTGCTTCCTAGCTTCTTTTAATTGGGGAACACCACCACACACTGTCCACCATGGGTAACCATTATTACATTTGACACATCAGTGTCACAGTGTTCAGCTTCACAGCAATCACAAGTTACCTCTGCACAGCAAGTGGACAAACCAGGGCTATACAACGTTTGGCCTGGTAGTTTCATATACTAGCATAATATTTAACTTTCTGTGCAACAATGAACAAATATTTTTTTTTAAAAAGTGAATTGTTGGGGGGAAGAGGAGAGGGAGTAAAAACTTGCAACAATGAGTGAATGAATGAAAATCTAACTTTTCTATAGACATTAGTTAAAATTACAATTAAAATTAAATTTTAATAAAAAATGATTCAAGACTACAATTTTCAGAGTGGATTAAACTTAAAAAAAAAATAAATAAAAATACTTAAGTCCCAGAACAATGACTGGGATAGCTATTATTCCCATATTCAGAGAAGAAAGCCAAGACCCAGAGAGAATAAAGCTGACAAAACACAAAAGCAGTAAGTGGAACAGCAGGGATCTGACACCAAGACCTCGCCCCCACTTCTTAATGTGATCCCTTGGCTGTAGGCAAAGCCTGCATCTTGATTACGTGACACGGCAACAACACTCAACAGAAAAGATGTTGAAAAACAGAAAATATGGGAAAAAGATGTTGAAGTTACTTAACATGTTCACTAATCTTACATTTGATAGAGCAGACATTTTATACAAGTTTTATCAGTAAGACAATCAGGGAAAACTTATCAATGTTTCTTCTATAACAATATTTTCTAATTATAAAACCACTTCCTCATACTTAACCCCCATGAGCCCTACGTTGTTGTGGGGTGCTGTCGAGTACAACCCGTAGCGACCCTATGTGCAACAGATCTGAACCCTGTCCTATCCTGTGCCAGTCTCACAATCTCTGACACAACTGAGCTCACTGCTGCAGTCACTGCATCATTCTTTCGTTGACATTCTGCCTTTCCAAGCATGATGTCCATCTCCAAAGAACAGCCTCTCCCAGTAATATGTCCAAAGTATGAGAAACAAAGCTTTATCATCTTTGCCTCCTTGGAGTACTCTGGCAGCACTTTCTCCAAGACATATTTGTTTGTTCTTTTGGCAGTCCATGGGATGTTCAGTACTCTTCCCCAAGATGACAGTTCAAAGGCATCAATTCTTCTTCTGTCATCCTTGTTCACTGTCCAGCTCTCAGATGTACAGCAAGTGACTGAAAAGACTATGGCCTGAATCAGATTCACCTTAGTCCTCAAACTGACACTACTGCTCCTTAAGAATTTGGAGAGGTTCTTGACCTCTCCTGAAGAGGTTGAGTACACTTTCCCAGTGCAATATGTCTCCTCATTTCCTGACTGCTGGTACTAAGAGTGTTGATTGTGGATCCAAGTAAGATGAAACTGGTGACCATTTCAATCTTTTCTCCATCTAGATGATGTAGCCTACAGGTCCATGAGCCCTTCAGTTATGCCCCATTTTATTACCCATAAATAGAAGAAACACTGACACCCAAGCCTAGCTTCACATCTTCTTGATCCCAAACTGAGCCCCTCCTCGTCTCCCCTGGCTCTCTTCACTCACCTCTGCTTCCTCGTGGTGTTCGATGAGGGCTTTTGGAGGGAGGTTGTATAAGTTGCAAAGCTTGGACTTGACCATAATGGGAACATAGCCTAGAAATTGTTTAATGATTCCTTTTGATACTCCATTCACTGCCCAGCTGATATCAGCCTAAATGAAAATCAACCACAGAGAAAATTACTTAACAGAAGAAAATATCTGAGTTTTCAAGTCCAAAAGTGAATTGTAAAATAATGAAGCAAACCACTAACTAAATGATCTGATATTTCAGATGAAGAAGACGGCAGTATCAAGAAAATAGAATTGTGGGATAAATTTTGAGTGTATCAAGTCCAGCGAGAGAGCCACACTCTGCCCTTTACTCACTGTCAGCCTTCCGCGGTAGGTACTCCTCCGGCCCCGACATTCTGCGGGATAAACTTTGAGATCTTTGCAGATGCTCCCTTTTGGAACTGTGGGTGAGCTGATGACGGCATCCACAATGGTAAGAGAGATACGTTCATCTTTGAAAGCAAATTCAAAGGGAGGGATAGCCTGAAATAGAATTCACACTATAAGTACTAACATTTCTAAAGCACTTTCAAGCTCCACGTGTTTTTATATGCATTGATGCTTTTAATACCAATAGGACACATCTAAAAAAACATCCAAACCTTCATCCTGTCTACATATAACCTTGTAAAGTACCTAAAAGTAACATCCATTAACTCAAGGGGGGGGGGGTCTACCATACATTAGATACTGTGTTAGGCCCTATGGACACAGGTATGAATAGAACTAAGTCCCCTGCCCTTGTGGAGGTCCAAGTCTCTTTTCTCTCCTAATGGGGAGACAGTAACACACACAAACAAGGGTTTTAGGTGATGCTAAGTCCTCAGATGAAATTATCAGGAGCCCTGGAAGCATAATGATTAAGCATGCACCTGGAAGCAGCCACTGGAAAAAAAAAATCAATCTCTTCCTATAAATATCCCAGTCAAAAACCCCTCAATGCCATCAAGTCGACTTTAACTCTTGGTGACACTACAGGATACACCAGAACTGCCCTCAGGGTCCTTTATGGAAGCAGACTGTCTTATCTTTCTCCCATCAATTAAGGTGGATTTAAACCACAGACCTTTCAGGTAGCAAAATGCACTGCACCACCAGGGCTCCTCTAGAAAAGATTTGGCCAATTCTACTGTCAAATGGGATTGCTAGGAGTCTAAACTAACTTGATGGCACACAGCAACAACAGACTTAATCCATCCATTTGAACAGGGACTAATTTAGGCTAAGATTGATTCAGTTAATGACCTTTACTGAAAAGATGCCAGAGAACTGCCAGAAATTCAAACTGGATTCAGTGGAGGCCATGGGACGAAGGATAACACTGATGATGTCTGATGGATCAGGCAGAAAACAGAGAATATCAGAAAGATCTTTACTTGTGAACGATCCTCCGGATCTCTGATATCCTTGAGCCTAATTTTACAATCACTGTGTCAATCATCTTACTGAGGATCTTCTTTTCTCTGACCTTCTATCTTTCCAAGCAAAATGTCTTTTTCCAAAGACTGATCCTTCCGCATAACATGTCCAAAGTATTTGAACTAAATCATCATCCTTGCCTTTAAGGAGCACCCAGGTTGCTCTTCTTCCAAAAGAGAATTCATTCTTTTGGCAGTCTAGGGGATGCTCAGTATTCTAAATGCCTTGGACTATTATTGTTGTTGTTATGTGCCATCGAGTCGCTCGTGACTTATAGCGAACCTATGTACAACAGCCCTAAACCCTGCTCTGTCTTGTGCCAATCGCACTGTCTCTGACACTCCCATCCCGACAACCCCAGTCACCAAATCAATCCACCTCATAGAGGGCCTTCCCCTTCTGCGCTGTCCCTCCACCCTCCCCAGCATGATATCCTTCTCCAAGGACCGGTCTCTTCTTACAACATGTCCAAAATATGTTAGACGGAGCCTCAGAATCCTTGCCTCCAAAGAGCCACCTGGTCGAACCCTTTCCAGGATGAATCTGTTTGATTTCCTAGCAGTTCACGGTACTCTCAATACTCTTCTCCAGCTCCACAGCTCAAAGGCATCAATTCTCCTTCTATCCTCCTTAGTCATTGTCCAACTCTCTGATACACAACAAGTGATTGTGAAGACCGTGGCCTGTATCAGATGCACCTTAGTCTCCAGAGAGACACCATTGCTCTTCAGTACTTTGGAGAGGTCCCTCACAGCAGACTTTCCCATGGCAATGTGCCTTTTAATTTCCTGGCTACTGGTGCCAAGAATGTTGATTGTGGTGCCAAGCAAACTAAAGCTGTGAACAATCACAGTCTCTTCACTATCCATCTTGATGCTTCCTATCGGCCCAGTGGTGAGAATCTTTGTCTTCTTGACATTGAGCCTCAATTCATATTGGAGGCTACAGTCCTTGACGCTCTGCAGCAGGTGCTTCAGGTCCTCCTCAGTTTCAGTAAGCAGGGTTGTGTCGTCTGCATAATGCAGATTGTTGATAGATGTCCAGCATGTACTTGGACTATTATGCAAAGGTATTGACAGTTAACAATGAGCTGAAACATGGTGGAGTGTACAGCAAGGTCATCATCTGTTTACACAGTCACTATGCGTGGTAGTAGACGGCACAGCACATAACATCATTGAAAAGGTAGCTGTTGTTAGGTGCCATTCAACTGCCGGTGACTCATGGTGACCCTATGGACATTAGATTGGAATCTTGCTCTATCTAGTGCCATCCTCAAGCCCATACTATAAACGAGCATCTCTACTGCTATATGCTTGTTGCAACATTGTTGTTGTTATGTGCTGTGGAGTCGTTTGTGACTCATAGCGACCCTATGTACAACAGCCCTAAACCCTGCTCTATCCTGTGCCAGTTGTGCTGCCTATAATCTAAGGTCTTAAAGATGTTCAACTATGTTTTATTCTGAAAAGATTTTTGTTTGCAAGGCATTTTTTTTTATTCTAATGAAAGTTTACAGAAACTTTGGATTACCATTCATTCATTGTTGCACTCTTTCCTCCCTGCCCACCACTCCCTGTCAGTACACTTCTCACTTGTTGTTGTTATGTGCCGTCCAGTCGTCTGCGACTCATAGCGACCCTATGTACAACAGCCCTAAACTCCGCTCTGTCCTGTGCCAATCGCACTGTCTCTGACAGTCCCATCCCGATTATCCCAGTCACTGAATCAATCCACCTCATAGAGGGCCTTCCCCTCCTGCGCCGTCCCTCTACCCGACCAAGCATGATGTCCCTCTCCAAAGACCTGTCCCTCTTGCAACATGCGCAAAGTATATCAGACGAAGCCGCAGAAGGCTTGCCTCCAAGGAGTTGCTTGGTTTAATCCTCTCTAGGATGAATCTGTTTGTTTTCTTGGCAGTCCATGGTACATTCAATACTCTTCTCCAGCACCACAGCTCAAAATTCTCCTTCTGTCCTCC